CGTGCTGGATTGGCGGGCGGCTCCGCTCCCACCTACTGAGCGGGGGAGGTGGAGGGTGCGGTGGCGGAAGAGCTGGGCTTGCGGAAGGTCTCCCGCGACTGGTGGTCTTTGACCTTTGACCATTGCCGTGGTTCCACGACTCACATCAGACACAATTCGAAGAGTGAGCCTTTCCGGAGGGAAGTGAGCTAGCAGGACGTCCTGGCACCGGGGGGCGTCTGGTACCCGCATCCTTTCACACGGACCCCACAGGGGCCACCGACTCCGTCTTGAAGCAGCTAGCGCCTGTCCTCTTCCTGTACGGGACAGTCACCGTCCAACCTCACAGAGGCTGCTCAGAGGCCAAGAATGCCCACGGGTAATCTTGTCATTTTACTTAGGGCTTCACTGGAGGATGCAAAAGGCCCCCATCTCCCTCCCTCCTGGGGGACTTTCTACCTGTTGGCCGGGCTGGAGTCAGAGTCATCCTAGACTGGGACCCGGTGCCCGGGAGCGAGCCGGCCCGGCCCAGTAGCGAGGCCGACCGTTATCCCAATTTTGCTGCCGCGCTGGTTATCTCTTTCTGCCCCTCCAGGTCTGTTCTGTCCTTTCTTCGCCGCCTTGGCGTCTCCACTTACTGAGCTCCCTTCCCGCTGGCCCTGCCTAGTGGGCCACTGTTGATGCCTTACAGAGTTACTGTAAGGGCGGGCTCCGAGGGCGCCTGGAGAGACCTGCCTAGGATTTACCACCGCACTCCCGCCCTGCAGCTATGTCCACAGGGAGGGCGACCAGCTCAGCCTAGTGGACCCAGGACTTTCCTGATTTTAGCCTTGAGAGTCCCCGATCTCGGAGCCAGCAGGTGGTGTGGTGGGGCGCTGCACTCACAAATGGCCGACTACTGTTCAAGTCCTGGACCTGAACTTTCCACTTCCTCTCCTCTCTCTGGTCAAATTGAAAATTAAATAATCCCGTTGAGGAAAAAAAAAAAGTCCCATATCTCAGAAACCTCTTCAATGATGGACATACCAGAATGGTTGCTAACCCTATCCACCCATCTCCTCTTCAATTTCTAGCGGGGTTCAGATGGCAGCTCCCTTTCATCCTCATTGTTTCATCTCCTTAACACCACTGGGTCCACTTCTGTCCCCCCCACCAAGATCCCATAGCCCACCTTCTCTTTCAAAGTCTCAGCTATCCATCTTTTCATCTACTCTACTATTAATGTCTCGTGTGTGTGTGTGTGTGTGTGTGTGTGTGTGTGTTTTATTGCCAGCGCGCACCTGCATTCACCCAAGCGAGACAGAAAGGGGGAAAGTGCCTCCTAATGGGACATGATGACCCCTTGTCCTCCATTTCTCCAACCTATCGGGATTTGAGGCACTTACGAACATGTACCCAGTGTGTTTTTCAAGTCAGTGAGGCCAGGGCTTGAACCACATAGTTGGCTATGTGAGAATCAGCTTCTTTAATCATCAGGTCACAGGGTGGGCCCTACTATTAATTTCTGCATCAACAGTTCCCAAATTCACACCGTTAGCACCTTCCCCTCATATTTGGAGGGCTAACACTTATTGGGGCTTGCTCTGTGACTGAAATAGTTGAAAGAATTTTGTAAGTTTTTTTTTTTTTTTTTAGAGAGGGTTTTGCTATAGGGCACATGCGCTCACCAGAAAGACAGAGGCAGAGAGACAGCAAGTGAGAAATCACCCCCCAGGGGGGATGGCCACGCTGCAATCCCTTCTCCTCCATTCTCCTCTTGGGATCTTGGGCACACATACACACACACTCCCACCGTGAGTTTAAGCCACCGGGTCTGGGCCTCGAACCACGGTCAGCTACATGGGAGTCCAGCAACATTACGCTAACTGCTGGTCCCCATAAGCATTATCTTATCTTCGGAGTTCTTATCCTTTGGAAAGACATTGCCTAAGCACCCTCTTCATTCTCCCTCCCTCCCCAGAAGTTACTTCTGCCCGATGTTTTATTTATTTATTTGTCCCTAACCTAACCCTAACCCAAAACTCCTGCCTGAAATTTTATTTATTACCTATTTGTCTGTTGTATCTCCAAGAAGACAGGCTCTTCATTTTCTTTGCCACTCACTATATCCTTACAACCCTGAACGTGAGTCAGAGTGATCTAAAAGGATGATGAAAACACAGACTGCTGGACCCCAGTCCAGAGCGTCTGGTTCAGTGTGTCTAAAGTGGGACCCAAGAATGTGTATTCCTGCCAAGTTCCTAGGTGGTATTTTTGCACTGCTGATCTGAAAACCATTCTTTGAGAACCAAGGGCTTAGATACTCCTGGCTCCTGGTAGAGAAATCTGTAGGTATTTATTGAAGTAATTAATTCATTCACTTGACAACTACATTATTCTTCTTGAACTCCCTCAGAAAATGAATAAATTAAAAAGTGTCCCTGACATTAGTATTTCAGATCTGTTTGGAGAGCACCTCTTTATTTACAAGAGAAGCTAAGAGAAACAGCTCCAGTTTGGAAAATGCGTGGACAGGGGTGAGCTAGAAAAGGGAAACTTTTCATCCTTTTTTTTTTTTAATTGAAGTAAAAGATAAACGAAATTTAATTTACCATCTTAAACATTTTTTTCTCAGATGATAATGGCTTTTTTTGGGAGGGGGTTAGGATTTCGCCATAGGGCATGTATGCTTGCCAGAGAGAGACAGAGATACAGAGAGGAAAAGTGAGAAATCACCCCGGGGCATGGCTATGCTGCAATCCCTTCTCCATTCTCCTCCCAGAATTTTGGGCACACACACATGTACCCAGTGTGATTTTGCAAGCCAACAGATTCAGGATTCGAATCGACCTCTGGGAGTCCAGCACCTTAACTGCCACACCACCTGCTGGCCCCTATCTTAAACATGTTTAAGTGTCCAGATCAGTAGTGTGAACTACATTCACATTGTCATACAGCCAGCCTCCAGAACGCTTTTCATCTTGCAAATCTAAAACTCTATGCCCTTAACAAATCCTCATTTCTCCCATCCCCAGGAAACCATTTATATTCTTTACTTTTTTTTTAAGAATTATTTTATTTGGGGACCAGCAGATAGTGTAATGGCTATGTCGCTGGACTCCCATGTGGTCAACTGCAGTTCGAGTCCTGGACCCAGTGACTTAAAACTCACGCCGGGTGCGTATGTGTGTGTGCACAAGATCCCAAGAGGAGAATGGAGGAGAAGGGACTGCAGCATGGCCATCCCCCCTGAGGGGTGATTTCTCACTTTCTATCTCTCTGTCTCTCTCTTTCTGGCGAGTACACACACCCTATAGCAAAAGCCTGCCCCCCCTGCAAAAGAATTATTTAATTTAATTTATTTATTGACTTTTTAAAATTTGACCAGAGAGGAACAGAGTGAGACAGAGCGAGAGCAAGTGAGAAAGCAAGCCACCAGATCCAGGACTCGAACTATAGTCAGCCATGTCATATTCCAGTGCCCCTAAGCCACCATGATACCTGCCGGCCCCAGGAAACCCTTTATATTCAATACATTGATGTGCGCTAGTCTGAAATGAGCCTGTATTTAGAACTAGCAACCTCGGCTATTTTCAGTTTTGATGAATGGCTCCATGATCCATCACTCACCAACCCAGAAACCTGCAAGCCACACTTGACTCCTCTGTCCCTTGTCCCTCAAGTTCAGTCACCCGACAAGCCATGTCTGTGAAGTCGATGGATAGCAGAAACGCAAACATCTGGAGTGTTCACTTGACAGGGATTAGCCTGAAGCTGTCCCACAGATGGCTTTGTGCGATTAGGTAAATCATTCCGCTTAGAGCCTTGTTTTCCTTATTTGGAACTAGCAAACATCAGATCAGATTATTATTCCCAAATGGATTAAATCGCCAGAGCACCTGGAAATGTGGAATGCCGTGAGGAATACTTTGAGTACCGATGATCTTAATCTAGTCGTATAAATTAGGATTAGCGGGATCATCATCTCAGACATGAATCAACACTGTAAAGCGATTCTGGGCCTGGCTGGTGGCATAATGGCTGCCATGGCTAGATCCCACATGGCTGACTGTGGTTCAAGTCCCAGACCCAACAGGTTGAGCAACACACTGGGCACGTGTGTGTGCGTACCCCAAATCCTGAGAGAACTGGGGAGAAGGGATTGTGGTGTGGCACTCCCCCACCCCCCAGAGATTTCTCTCTCTTTCTCTCTCCAATGAGTATATGTGTCTATAGCAAATTAAAAAAAAGGAAAAAAAAGCAATTCTGAGAGATTAGATGCTTGTGAAAAACTGAGCCATGGAATCTAACAGTGCTCAGCCCATTCCAAACTTTCATTTATTTTGTTTGCAGACAAAAGTAGATTCCAAAGCTAAGAAAGTTTGGAAGGAGATAATTGACAAATTGTGTCTTCCATTTCTTTTTTTGCAAAATGAGATAGACTTCATGTTAGGTTTTTAGTATCACTCACTGTTCCTTTGAAGAAATTTTTATCCTGAGCCTGTAAATCTTCATCCCTAAAGAAGCACTGCCACCATGTGGCAGATCCTGGTAGTGTCAGTCCACCTGTTGCCGATTGCCTCTCTCCTAAAGCTATTTTGGAGAAATGTGTTGGAGATCATTTTAAGATTTTCCAAAGACTTGTTTAAACTTCCCCTTGAAGGAGTGAAATGGTCACATCTCCCAGCATATGACTTCAAAGATGATTCCTACAGTTGTGAAGCAGGAATTGCAGTGTGACCACACTCCAGCAGGGGGTGCTCACTTCCTCTCCCTCTTTGTCTCTCTGGCAAGCGCACATGTCCTCCCGCAAACTGAAAAGCTAAACTAAACTACTATGGTCTCGACTCAAAAACAGGGACCAGCAGATGGCGTAATGGTTATGTTGCTGGACTCCCACGTAGCTGACCATGGTTCAAGTCCTGGACCCAGTGGTTTAACACTCATGCTGGCACATATGCGTGTATGCCCGAAATCCCAAGAGGAGTAATGGAGGAGAAGAGATTGCTGTGTGGCCATTCCCCCTGGGGTGTGTGTGTGTGTGTGTGTGTGTGTGTGTGTGTGTGTGTGATTTCTTTTTTGTGTGTGTGTGTGTGTGATTTCTTGCTTTCTGTCTCTCTGTCTCTTCAGCAAGTGTTCACATCCTATAGCAAAAATCTCTCTAAAATGAAAGGAAGAAAAAAAATATTAGGAACTTTTCCAAAAACAGAACATGTTCTACCAGGTATTCTGTGTGCAAAAGTTCCTTTACCAGGGAACCAGAAGTTAGCGTA